ACTTTAGATAAAAAAGTTTATTTCCTTTTCATTTTATAGTTTTTTTTTTTTTTTTTTTTTTTTTTAATTTAGGAGAAAATCAGGGAAATTCTGTAGCAAATACTAGGAAAAAAGGTAATTTATACATTGGACAGTGCAAAATATATCCTCAATTTCATGTCCTCCTTTACATAAACAACTGGACTCTGTATGCTTTAAAGAAGCAGCAACTCTTGTAAACCTGATGAACAAGAGACCAGCTGAATACCAGAAAGGTTTTAGCCAGAAACCAAAGAGCCCAGGAATTGGTAGTGTATCAGGTATATCATGTAACTATAGCTTTATTCTCAGGATACWACAGGTATAAGTCTAAGTAGCTTTTCTTCAAAGAAAAATTGTTTTGATATGACTAAAGATTTAGTGTATGTTCTATTCATTTTCACATTTTATTCTCTCTATTTATAAAAAAAAAAAAATATTTCTCCCCTTCTTTCTCAGTCAAAAAATTCCAAGTCCTGAAAGTCAAGACAATGCTTCATGTCTTTACCAATGGGCTGCATTTTGATGATTAGCACAAGGCAGTTCACAACTACCCTGATTGCATTACAAATTTGCTACCATAATAACCCTTTGAAACGTAGAAGAGGACAAATTACTCAGGTCCCTTGGTAGCAAGGAGAGCAGGGACTGTGGGTAGATCTAATTTCACCTAACATTAGCCATCCCCAGTTAGATGTCTCAATTAAACTGCCTGCTTAGCCTTTCTCTCCAGTGAGTGGATGCAAAGAGACAGGTACTTCCAGACAGTAAATCATCCCCTCTCAGGATACTTTTCCAGACTAATGGGATGAGTTGCCATGCCCATCTCTTTATAAATTTTATAAGTTTATTTGGGTGTAGAACGAGTTAATACTTTGTTTTTTTTTATCAGAATATATACACATTTTAACTTCTAAAAATATTGTCAGAGTAATGACACTTGTAACTCTGCTTTCTTCTTTTCTTTCGTAATTTTGAAGTGTGGCCTTGTGTTGAAGCTCTCCTTGACTGACTGAGGAATTATTTAGGTACTGTGTATGCCATTGGCTTGTGTTGCGTACAGTCACTGGTAGCGTTATCCTAAGAATGAAATAGTAACACATCTTTCCATGAACTCTCCTGTTGAGCCATACTCCACTGTATTGATTTCCATGTATTCTTCTAAAAGTTTTTTTTTCCCTTGCTTCTTGCTACATTATCTACTGTGTTCAGTAGTAGGAACCTTCTGAGAAAACAGTTTTCCTGTGASCTGCATATAAAAAAGGGTTTTTGCACAAATACTGCATCATTTGCTCTTCTTTTATCTGTGCCACTTTACTGCTATGAGAAGTACTTTTTTCCTGGTCTCACTGGGATTTGTAGGCAGTCTGATGTTTCATCAGCATTCCTCACATTCAGGTTTGGTCTGGCTGTGTGCTTGACACGTTGCACCTGAATCTACATCAGATTTTCTCCTCTCATACTGACTGCTGTCTGGGCAGCATTGTGCAGATCACCAGTTCCTCTCCATTTTTTCCATAACTTCCATCTCAGATACAAAGCTCACACATCTAGTTTCCAATTTTGTTGCCTTTAGAAGTACGGTCTGCCGTGATTATTTTGCCTTTCTAAATTTTTCAGCAAAACCTCTTGGTCTTTGAAGACAATTGGTAGTCACCTGCAGCTCAGTGAATTTGACTCTTTGCAGGTGAGGGGAATGAGGGAAGGGGTGAGGACATAAGGAACAGCTTGGAGGAGCAGGTARTTAGGGCAGTCAGCTTTAACTGGTTTTTAACAGCTGGGGAGGGATTTTTGTGTCTGCATATGGCTGAGAGGCAACTTAGAAAGCAGAAATGAGCTGGGAAAGTAGAATGGATATAAAGGTAACTAAGAGGGGGGACTTACTAGAGGTTCTTGGAAGTGTTGATGGCTGTTTGGTTTAGGTGCTTTCAGTGGTGCTGTTGGGGAGCTCTGCAAGATCAGGGAGGAGGTTTATGTTCAGGGCTTGTGCTAATTGTGTCAGAGGGGGCATTCTTAAATGCTCTGCGTTTGTGCTTTTTCTTTCTGAAAAGTAGTAGCGATGTGGGAGGTGATTGTAACTGAAGAAAGGGATGTGGTTTACAGGGCTGAGTGCAGCCTGTGTTCTGCCTGGTAAAATATCTCTTGAAAATGCAACACCTTGAGGTCTTTGAGGTGCAAGCAGTATGCAAAGCTACTCATCCATCTTATGGGTCTGGCTTATGACCTTGGCTGCTAGGGATGCAGAGTTATATTCCTAGAGGTAGGTGGTGGTCTAATTTCTACTGGTTGTAGCAAAATAAGGCTGAGTGTGTGTATTTGGAGTTTGCTTGCGCATAACTTTTTAAGTCAGTTGCTTTGAATATTTTAACCATTGAGGTGAGCAGGGGTTGTGCTCTGGCCTTCAGGTTTTTTCCTATTGCCCTTTAGAACCTGGACAGAAGCTTGGATGAAGTATTTTTCCAGATATTTCAGAGTCTGCTCCATATGTCTGATAGAGAAGCTTCTGTGTGTGAACAGTGCAAGCCTTTGCTTGATAACCCAGTAGTCTGGTTGCCTTGGAAGATGAAAGTGAGCCTACTTCTTGATCTGTGAATGGAGAAAAAAAAGGGTGGGAGAAATAAAATTTGATCTTAGATTCTTATTTTCATTTTTTTAAAGTGCCTTCTTAATCATATTGCAAGATGGCAGTCAGCTTAAAAATACTTCTGAAGGTCTAGTCTTTTATTGTTTGTAATGTTAAAAAAAGAAAACTAAACATCTTCTGCCTTTGTCTTTGGAAGTATTTGTCTGCTGGGTGTTTGTCCTGGAAAGGATTTGCCTACTTCTCTGTAAAATTGCAGTACTGTTTCTCTGTGGGACATTTATCTTTCAGATGTCCTTGAAACTGAGACAGAAAAGTTCAAAAGAGTGATTGCTGTGAAGGAAATGTACCTGCTAAAGGTAACAGGTATTGGAGTAACTAATGAAACCCAAGACCAGTATTTATGAGCTTAGACAGAAGGAAGATGCAGTTTTATTGGACAATACTAAAGGCAGACATACATTACATATATATTAATTAAGAATGGTGTGTGGTGCTTGTAGAAAGGCATCTTGCTGGAAAACAACTTCCAGATGCTTYCAGAAAAAACTCCAGTTATCTCAACTTGTTCATAGATTGGCCAGTCATCCTTCTGAAGCAGATGGAGGTAGTTTTTCACAAAGCTGAAACCAGCACTGTGTGCACTTTGTCTTTTCTGAAGTTTCTAGCAAATCAGTGTTATTCTGTTACATGGTGTATCTGTTTATTAAAAATGCCTATCCTTTTAAGGGTGTCTGAGAAAAGATAAATACACTATACAGTATTGCTAATAATTAAATTTGTAAAATAACTGCTTTTTGATAGACTAACATGCAAATACAATTCCAGCAGTGGCTGTTTCTCATTAGTGGGAATGACAGGCCAGCTTTAGAATATGTAATGATGTATAAGCCCTGGTGGCTATAATTGGCATAGAAATGTACTATATCCTTGGGTGTTAAAAGCCATAAGCTATTTATTTTCATACTTACAAAGAATGTACTACATTGTGGTATAAATCTCACATGGATTGTCATAATTGCATTTTTTTAGTAATTTATGTCCATATGGTTCAAATAYGAATCTGCCCCCCTTATTAGCATCCTGCTGGTGACATAATGTACTGATAAATTAATATCTGGTGTCTGGAAAGCCTGTTTCAATTCAGATCTCATGCAAAAGAAACTTAAACCTACCTGATCTTCCTGATAAAAATAGCCTTGTTGTCATTGAGGATTTTGTAATACATGAGCTTACA